TCTAAAAACATTCAGAAGCTTCAGGAAGTTTATCAAATGCTCTTCAGACTTAATATTTACAATCTTTAGACTGATACCGCTACCATGTTCAGAGCCAAGGAAGACCAGTCTGTCATCTATCACCCAATCACCAAGTTTGACTTGACATCTTCTCTTCTTTCCAGGAAGTCAGGGATTAGACTCGGATTAGACGGCTAGTTATCATCTGCAACATGTTTCCTATTTGTCATCAGCCCCGTAACCCAAAACCCAACTCACCGATCAAATGTTATCACCCTTTGACCTTCCTCCTACAACTAATTCCATTCACCCTCCACCCAACCTACTCATCGGCACAAACACAAGCACTGGGTAAACCCAATCATTAAAAGATCATAGAAGCGTTAAAATGTCATTTACAATATTTTTGAAATCTGCAGCTTTTATTAAAATCATCTCTGGTGATCCTGCCACCAAGGTGCTTGTTCAGGCACTTCCTTTATTAGGGTGACAACACTCTGTCCCTGTCTCCCGATTATAATTCTGCGTAGTCACACAGCCTACAGGGACTACAACTAGTTATTTCGACGCAGGCATTGTCCACAGTTGTCACCAGAACAAAAGCTGCCTTGCGAAATACGATACAGCCATCGCTGGAGTGCTAAACTAGATGCAACAGATGGCATATCTGTATCCATAGCAGCCCAAGTGCCTGCTCAGGGGCCCCACTAGGTTCTTGAGGCAATCTAAACACAGAAGATATTGCAATACTGTGTCCTTAAGGTTGCATTTGACGACAACTCGAATCCCCTGTAAAAAGAGAGACGGCTTCATATGCACAAGAGGGGTCTTGGGGCTCTTGGCATCGTTACCCACAGCTCAGAGAGAAGTTCTCAGGGGGCGGGGGCCCCTATCATATTTTTGCTATAGGGCTGTGATCTGTAGTTATGGCCCTGGGTGGGCACCTAGGCTGGGACCATAGCGAGGTGTCTGTTGGATGGAATAAAATACATGTGTGGTGAACTAGCGGTGTGCGGCGTTTCTTTGGAGGGTTTACATCTGCTTTAAAATTCCATGTGATACAGGACGCGCTCTGCGAAGGAGCTGAATTGTCTGCAAACATTTTATCAAACAAAAACACCGGAAATGTTTAATCAAAGCCCAAAAAGTTGTCTAGTTTGTGATGTCCAGACGTGCCGGTGACCTCCCCCCATTAATGGATGTCACTGCTTCTTCTAAGAACTAATGAGCGCAATGTTTACAGACCCGGATCACCCGAGAGGGGTAATGGAAGCCGAACGTCCATTTGGTAAAGATCACGAATAGCTGTCACCGTCCTGTAAACAATTCTCCCTCTCTCACGGTAGGAAGCGGAGTTTCAAGTCACATGACTGGCCATAAAGTGAGATGAAAGTCAAAAGGTGGTGAAATGACAATGGATGCTGATGTGTAAGGCCTCGTTCACACCACATGCAGGACGTTTTTTGTGCAAGACGGGACAATCTGGGTGCTGCAGTGATGTGCGCTTAAAAAAAAAAAAGTACGGCATGCAGTATTTTTTTTAAGCGCACTGCAGTAAGGCCCCATTCACACTGAGCGATTTATCGAACGATTTTTGCAGCGATATCGCTCTATGTAGCTTCTCCAATCCATTTCAATGGAGCTGTTCACATCTCGCAGCTCAATGTCGCTGGTAGCTCGTCGCTGGTAGCTCCTACATGACCCTTTTTTCGAGCGATATTGCTCCTGATTGCATACAGCCCAATAGGAAAAAGTTGCGACTCGTCGCGCAATATTGCTCAAAATCACGCGATTTTCATGTCGCTCAGTGTGAATGGGGCCTTAGTGTGTCACAACTGTATCACATGGTGTGCGTATATACAGTATAAATATATATCTATAGATACCCTGTTTTCCCGAAAATAAGACCTAGTACTATTTTTGGAAATTGATAAAATATAAAACCTACCCCGAAAATAAGACCTAGTTGTGACCATACCCAGGGCCGGTGGTGGCATAAGGGGGGAACTTGAAGAGTCGAGGGAGAGAATCAGCGGTGCCAACAAAGCCAGCGGTAGAGGAAGCAAGGCGGTAGCGGAGGGAGCAGAGCTGCATAAGCCGATGCTTCCTCTATAGCGCCGGCTCCTGTCACGGGCGGAGTGATACCAAATGCGCTCCGCCTGTGAGGAATTGATAGTGAAAGCGCGCTTCACTCATTCTGGCCAGCGATTGGTTAGCACATTGCTCTTGGAAAGGTACGGCACCCCTGATTGCTCTGATCACCATATTTTTGTATATGAATACATGTAGACTGTTCTACATGAACAAGTGTGGATTGTTGTACATTAAAAAATAAATAAATAAGACCTACCCCGAAAATAAGACCTAGTGTGTTTTTTTGAGCCAAAAAAAAAAATATAAGACAGCGTCTTATTTTCGGGGAAACACGGTACATACACAGACATACATACAGGGCTGGATTTACGCTCTCTGCTGCCCCGAAGGCCAGGTTCCTCAATGCGCCCACCTGCCTGCCAACCCCCCCATAGAGAATGGCAGACCTGCAGGCTGCATACAAGTGATCTCAGCGGCATCATTTGTACAAAACAAGCGCCGGCTTCCCCGCTGTACATTTAGCTCTGTTTGCCCAAAGCAGGGCTAAATGTAGAAAACTAACCACCCGCCAGGCAGCCGGAACTGCAGGTCCCGGACATTGGGGGATAAGAATTCCACACCCATGTTGCCCCTCTACTCCCTGCTGCCCCAAGGCCGGTCCTTGTGGGAAAACCGGCCCTGTATATATATCTGTGACGGTACCGAGTATTTTGGACAAGTATGAGTGCTCGCCCAAATTCTCCGATACCGGTACTACCGGTCAGAGGGACTTCTCCCTCTGACCGGCAGTGCTGAAGGAGCATGGAGCCGGCTTCCTTTCCAATCAGGAAGGCGGGCGGTGGATTATGATCTATCAGGAAGCTGGGCAGAACCTAATGGCCAGCCTACCAGCTTCCTGATTGGTTAGGAAGCCAGACTGCCTAGAACAAGTGAAGACAGCTTCCTAGCCAATCAGGAAGCCGGGAGGCAGGTCATGATACGCCACCCAGCTTCCTGATTGGTCAGGAAGCCAGGCAGCCTTGGCAAGTGAAGTCGACGTTCTTTCGCTAGAACACCGGCTTCACAGGTAATTAAGAAGTCGGGTGACCGCCAGCTTCCTGATAATTGGGGCACAAGGCACTGGTAGTCGATGCCGAAAAACAGGTATTCGGTGCATCCCGTATATATATATATATATATAAAAAAGCACACATGGTCAGTTCTTATGCGTATTAGTATTCTTCATGGCTTATTTGAAGGGCTCTGTTATCGTCTTTGGAGTCCCGGAACAGGTTAAACACTCCGGAAATTGCCGCTCTCAGAGGAGCACATCACGCCAGCTCCCTGGATAAAGAAAACATCCTGGACACGGCACACGTGAAGGAAGCGCGTGTCCCTTCATACGTCGCTTATTGTTCCAGGCAGTGATTAAAGTGGACCGGTCATCAAAACACAATGCAGGCAGCCGGCACGATGTCTGCTCAGCCAGTCTCCTCTAGAATGCGATCAGCAGGAAGAAACTTCCCTCTATCTGGAACTAGATTTGTAGTTCTGATATTATTTCTGTGTGTGGACACAACATGTGGACCTTTAAGTGACTGCACACGCCTGAACGAACAAACAAACTCCTGACATGTCACAATATGTAGCAAAACGGAAAAATTGTATAATCAGCTTTCCGTATTTATTCCTTTCCCGATGCATCTTCATGGCAGCACACAATGGGTTAACGCTCCCCGTGTGACATCCCTAGAACAGTATATTGAAAAGATTCCATCTCTGTGCTCCAGTCAGTGACTTTGCCTAGGCAGAGATGATGTGAATAGTCTGCCACAGGCAGGAGGAAGCCAAATCAGTCCATGTGCTGAAAAGGAGCTTGCTGATAGGAAGAGAGAGCAGAGTGATAGAGGGATGAGCTCATCACTGCGCTGCTTCTCCTTTCACAGGCTGGGGGCAGGTGCAGCACGACCTGGGCTCAGAGGTAGTAAGCTGCCCATCAGAAAACAAAGTACTTCACGGGAAATTTCTGGATTTTGAACACTGGTTTTACTATTTATGGGCTAATTTTCTGTTATCTTGTTACTTATTGTCATGCAAGCGGTGCAAATACCTAATTTGACATGATATCGGCCTCTTGCGGTCCCAGAACAGCAAAGCTCAGACCGGGTACGGGAAAGACAGCACAGGGAGGCAGTTGACTGTGCTAGCAAGGGATTTACTCGACGTAGGAGAGAGCAGAGTGACGGAAAGATGAGCTCATCAGTCTGCTGCTTCTCCTTTCACTGACTGGGGGAGGGACATGACTTGTAGCTGTTGCGTATCTGCAGCACAGAAAAATCGGGTCTCCTGCCCCTGCCGAGCGGGGCTGTGCTGTGTGGCAGAGCTGTGTAAATCTCAGGACTAATGAACACTGGCAAAAAACGGAGGCATGCTGGGTGGAGGAGGGGTTATCCTGGGCTGGCCTACAAATTTGTTTTGCCAGTGTCTAAATGCTCCTGTAGGCGGTAGTATAACCCAACTGCATCAGAATTCCTGTGCCCCCCAATGAACAAACGGTCTCCTCTCTTTTTAACCAGGTTCTGTAGTTCTGTCCATCCAGTAAATCTCAGGACTGGATGGACAGAACTACAGACAGGTAAACCATCCCTCTTATTTGGAGTTCAGCTTGATGAGGTGGCAGGTACTCTTTGGCAGTGACAAAATGTCCAGAAGGAATCCCTGTAAAATGGGGTAGAAACTTTATTACAATATTACATTAAAACGGGAACATTTCAGAAATGAGAAAACAATAGTGCAAAGTCTGTATTCTGTCCATGGACGCCGTCACAGCTCTGATTGGACGGGGTGTGTGCGGAGCGGCGCTCTGCGATACCAGCCTGCCGCTGTACTGGACACAATCCTGCTATGACCCGGTGATCCTATAGTGGTCAGTCCACGGTTCCGTGTATAACCTGATTGAAGTGTATGTGATACTCCGCCTCCCAGGGGACACGCAGCCACTCTACTATCTCTTTAGGGAGATCCGGGTCCTCCATCCACAAAAGCCAAGCGCTTTCCTTCTGCTGTGTCTGCAAAGAGAGAATAAAGGACCTCAATGGACGGTGACCATGACAGATCACAGGGACTACGGCAGTGACAGATCACAGGGACTACGGCAGTGACAGATCACAGGGACTACGGCAGTGACAGATCACAGGGACTACGGCAGTGACAGATCACAGGGACTACGGCAATGGCAGATAACAGGGACTACGGCAATGGCAGATAACAGGGACTACGGCAATGGCAGACCACAGGGACTACGACAATAACAAACCACAGGACTTTTCTATTTCTTATGACCACGTGTATGGAGCCCATCATTTACGCAGCACATTACACGCAGTACAGTCACATCGGTCCCATCGGCTTACAATCTAAGGTCCCTATCTCACATATACTATATTACCAAAAGTATTGTGACGCCGGCCTTTACACGCACATGAACTTTAATGGCATCCCAGTCTTAGTCCGTAGGGTTCAATATTGAGTTGGCTCCGCCCTTTGCCGCTATAACAGCTTCAACTCTTCTGGGAAGGCGTCCACAAGGTTTAGGAGTGTGACACATACTAGGGCCAATTACCTGCCAGCACCTGAGGCATGAGAGGAAAACGTTCTGGGCCCTCTGCGATGCATTGTGTTGGATGCATTCATTTTAAAGCTTTTTCTTAACCCTTGCACTGCAAGGAAGCCGGCTTCACTTGTTCCTAGGCAGCCTGGCTTCCTGACCAATCAGGTCATTACGTTTAGGTTGATGAGATGGCAACTCCTTGAACAAGGTCTCCTCCATTTTAGCCACGGCTGTGTAAATGGCAGGACTGGCTGGACAAAAGTACAAATTCTTCGGCAGGAAGACAGCTCCCGCATGTGTATTTCATCTGGGTATTACGTTTGCAGTTTATCTTCAATGTAGACAGTTCCACTTTAATGGCCGGCTGTGTGCTCAGCTCTTCAGCTCTATTCAGGTGTCAGGTTCCTGCCGATGTTTTTGCAGTTCTAGGAAAAATGTTAGTTTAAGATGCAAGACTTCCTCCTAAGCCGTCCTAATCACCAATCACAGCATTCTCCACCCCCCCCCGAATCTTCAATCCAGCTTATCTCCACATGATCACTCAGCCCCGAAATGGAAAGTTCTGGAACATCTGTCGTTACAGCTTTTCCAGTGTCAGAATATTCTCTGTGCGCTTTTTCTGCCCTCAGATAAGACGACGCGTTGTGGATTTCCTCTGAGAAGAAACCTCCATCAGGTATAACAATCAGCACAATGCAGCAATCTCCCACTAAGAACCCAAAGACTCCACCATGAGATGTCTCAGCTGGAAATCTGATCAGCAATATCATATGCAGCTCATCGGATCACACCAAGACCCTTGGATTGCAATGCAGAATTTATTGTAACATATAAGAAGCTAAAGTTAAAGGATATCAATGGTCATAACTAATAATAAATCTGTATTTCCATAAGTTCTATCCCACTCCTAATAACCAGATCCATCTAGAACAGACCTGGGCATTTTACAGCCCCCATCCATCTCTGTGTGTCCTTGTCCGGCCTGCAGTCTGGACACGGACCGATCGCCGACCTGCACTCGGTTATGGCTAGCTGACAGTGGATGCATCGGCCTCCTTGCACTGCAAGCCATAGCCCAGTGCAGGTGGGCGATCAATCCGTGGCCGGACTGTGGTACTCTTAAGTCTTTGGTTGCTAGGACTGCTGGCATCCTAGCAACCAATGATGTCAGGGGTCCTCCTCCTCTGCAGTCATTGGTTGCTAGGGCGCCAGGCGGTCCTAGCAACCAGTGATGTCAAATATGTTCCTGCCCACAGGATTACAGGAGGATAGAAGAGTATCTTCTTCCATCCTTTCCTACAGCTCCAAACCCCGGCTCCCGCCTCTGGCCTATCAAAAAAAAGAAAAGGTATGCGGCACACATTCTTTGTGGGGACAATAATGCTTTTTTTTTAGGGCCCGTTCACAAACTCTAATGGTTCTGCACTCATTTTATTTAGTTTATATGTTTTTATTACATCCATCAATCCAATCTGTGTTTAAAGAATCATGAATACAGATTGCTACATCGAAGCAGGATTCCCAGAGCACTAAGGTTTTCTTATTAAAGAACATAGCAGAAGTTGTCTCCTTTCAGACAGTCTGTCTCTGATTGCAATCTCAGAGGAGGTAGGAAGGTCACTGCTGTGACTGTGTGAACATTTCAGCTTAAGAACAGAAAAGGGTTTTCCCCCCCAAACTGTTACCACAAGCTTGGAAGTGCACAATAATCTCAAATGAGGTAGGCAAACCCTGGCCCTCCAGCTGTGGTGAAACTACAAACCCCATTAGGCATTGCAAGACTGACAGCAACAGACATGACCTCCAGAAGCAGATGCATGACGGGATTGGTAGTTTCTCCACAGCTGGAGGGCTGGTTTGCCTAACCCTGTTCTAAAATGTCTGTGTGTGTGTGTTATAGTAGGTAAGGCTGAATAAAGACACAAGTCCATCCAGTTCAACCGTGTATTACAGCAGCACCCTACACTGGAAACACCTGAACATAATCATTTGGAGGACGGCCCACATACTTTTGGCCATTCAGAGGCATATTCAGGGCCGGATTTACTCTCTCTGCTACCCCAAAGTGCCCCCCCCCCCGGCCCCACTGAAGAATGGCAACCATATTAGAGGGGACCGCAGGGTTTTAATTTTTTCTTTATTATTTTTCTTTATCCTATTATCTTTTACTGTTTTTTTAATATAATTTATCTGTTTTTTTTCCCCACTTAACCTTATTGATATCACACTGGAGCTAACAAGCCCCTGTGTGATAGCATTTGGAGGTGACAGGTTCCCTTTGTGGAACCTGTCACCTCCAATACAGGAGTTCTAGCACAGCATTGTGCTGGCTCTCCTGTGACAGAAGCCACGTTCTCCGCTCTGCTCCCCGCCCTCCATTCTGAAGTGACTGCCGTAGTCCCCAGAAGAGCAGGGGGATCCTGAAAAACCCCAGCGGGGACAGAGGCAGCCAGGTAAGGTGGGGGGCGACGGACCGGCAGGCTGCATACAAGTGATCTCGGCGTCATCACTTGTACAAAACGAGCAGCTGTACATTTAGCCCTGCTCAAAACTGCGTCCAATGTATTCCTATGGTATTTTGAGCTCCAGTTCACATTGTAGCGTGCAGATCCAGAGCAGGGAAAAAAAATGCAGCAGGCCCTATTTTACCTGCTCTGGATCTGCAAACGCATCAAAAAACACATGCAAATGCCTGGAACCCACTGAAAGCCCATGAAAGCCAAAAACGCATCTAAAAGACTAGCGTGCCTGTGCAGAAAACTGACCGGATCTGCTCTGCATTTGGTGTGAACAAGGCCTAGATGTAGAAAAAAAAAACGGACCTGCCCCGCCCTTCTACTCCATGCCACCCCAAGGCCAGGGGATATATAGCCCTTGGCATATTTAAAAAGTAGCAAATGTGACTTTCAGCAAACATTCACTTGCAGTGAATCAATCACTAATTTAATACACATGCAACTGGAATATTCACCTGCAGGGAATGTTTGGTGAATTGGTCAGATTCCCCATTGTATAAAGCTGCCTCATACTATACATACACAGTATATTTTTCGATCATGAGACTGTTGCCAGTGTGAAGGTAATTATATCTCCGCATTACTGATCTTCCAGAACTATTCCTCGAGATGAAAAAACAACAAGAAACCTTTCAGCGGAGATGTTCCGGGCTTTGGGCTTAATGGTTACAAAAGCTCATCACGGCTCATATTAATTGGGAATTCTTCACTCCTCCGGCAACTTATCACAGCACTTGTAATCATAGACAGATATCCTCCTCCGCTCTGTTCCCTGCGCTCCTCTTATCTCCCCCTAATGAGGAGCCGAGCAGTGAGCGGCACTTATCAGGCGGGAGGTGAGCCTCTCCAATAACCTCAGACTGGAGGTCCAGCTGTGAAGCTTAAATATAATTGTCTAGATAAAGTCTATTATGTTATTCTGAGAGAAGCTTCTGCTGACGGATCAGAAGGAAGACAATAAGCAGAGAGAGGGACAGTGTCATGGTACAGGGGGGGCGGGGTACATACCGGAGTTGGGGG